GCTGCTGGTTTGCTGTAGAGTGGCCGGGGCTCTCTCTGGGGGGCGGAGGAGTGTAAACTCTCACCAGCCGGGAGTAATCGTCCCAGGCGTTGAGAGTGCAGCCTGTCAACGGCCGGAGAATTCTCCGCGTCTTTCTTCTGGTTTTCAGCGCCGACTCCAAACCCCCATGGGGTTTTGGAGTATCGACTCCCAAAAACCCCCGAGGGGGTTCGAAAAAAAAATAAAAATAAGTATTATTTTATTAGGGAGTCGACTCCCAAACCAATCAAAGGGTTTGGAGGTCCGACTCCCAAAAAACGGGGGAAAAAAAAAATTAGGGGGCCTGACGTCCGGAGGACCGTCCGCAGACAGTCCTCAGGACGTCCCCAAAATTTGGGAGTCGGAACTCCAAATTTTGGGAGTCGTTTGACTAAGTCCCTATATCGAATATAACATGGTCCATTCAACTGCAATTTCCAGCTCAAAATTCAATGCTGTTATGTTAAATTTGCAGGAGAGGTGAACAATGAAATACAAAGTTCAACAATTTATCGTGTCCAAGGGTGGTGCATTGTTCTTGGTGATAGGCCTATTGAGGGAGACCAACAGAGCAGATTAGATATCTGCCTCCATCCCTTCTGGGTTTGCCGATGGCTTCAAGGAAGAAGCAGGCCCTGGGGAACCGTGCCCAATTTTCATCTCCTCCTTTCTGTTCCTGATACCTATGGATATCTTTTGGGTTTCAATGATTACAGCAATATCACTGTTATAACTGTACCTCACGGTTCTTATTTTCTCTTCCTGAATATCTTTCCCCCCCCCCCCCCCACCCCTCTAGAAACCGTGCTCGCAAACAACCCCTTGCGAGTGGAATTCACATTTGTCTATGTCCTCAAACATGCAAGTACGTTGCCTGGAAAGAGAAGATGAGGGCAGTATTTTCAAAAGTCTTCACGTCACCAGAAGTCACCCCCAACTTCACAAAGGTCATTGTCCGACGAAAATCAATCACATGATGCACAAGAAGCGATGCTGAGTGTTGAACAGGGAAGCTCAGTTCTCGCTTCTGTCGGGATCTGTAAGTTTCTCCATGCACATACACAACCACCAATCGTCGTTGTAGGGAGATGACTTGAAGGACGGAGATTAGACAAGTCATCAAGGCCTACCGCTCATTGAACAATGATCATTTGCCCTCAACCACGACATGCAGTGGGCACGGCTCAACCTCTCCCGAATGGCAGTGCAAGTAAATGATCATTGCAGGGCCCGACGCGAGGAAAGGCTTGCCGAAATGGAAGGCAAGCACGCGTTCATCTCTATTGGTTTGGTTGAAACCATTTACCTGACGAGTGGAATGTTACGAGTCAACCATTTTCATGCTGTGCGTTTTTGGGCGCTTAACCACCGTCAGTCCGACTGATACAACCTACGTGTGTATCAGCTTACTGGGGTGACATCTCATACACTGACGGGTCATCCTATGTGCCATCGTTACACTTGTTGAGAGCCAATCTCGCTCGCTCCATTTTCCCTCCGGCCGGTGTTAATGTCCCCAGATTGACTTCGAATGGGATCATGAAAAGAAACGAAAATGGAGTTTTCCTGCGAAAGAAGCAGGGTGGAGGTCTGATATCAGTTGTCTGTAGCCTTCTGACGACCTTCTGGTGATATCTTCAACATGAAGTACATACATATCCGCCACTGATATATCGGAATATAGAGGCTTTCTGCGAGGTAGAGACAGAGATGGAATCGGAACCAATTGATGACTTGCAGAAAAAGAAACTGATTCTAGAATCGGGGCTGATGTCCTTGGGTTTTCGCATACCACGGCAATTGAACCAATTGGCTTCGAAAAAGTTCTCGAGCTGCGATTTTGATTTTGGCGTTACAGAGGACAGCCGTGGCCACAGTGGATTGGAATCGGTGGAGGTGGAGTGTGACTTGCTTCTGCGAACCAGCTGTTTTGTGCCCCCAAGCCGCACCTGTGCAAGGGTCGAGTGGGCCAAGGTGTCGGTTATAAAACCTCAGAGCTTTGATAGCCATCGTACCCCATCCACTCATCACCAGACATCTTTTGAGAACTACTCGACAAGTCACATATTTATTACACTATTAAATACTATACCATCACTACCCAAAAACCTACTTAAATCCAGTATGAACTTCAACGCTTCATCTTTCGTGGCCCTTGCCCTTTCTATGGGTGCCTTCCTTGGTAGGTCCACTTTTAGATATGCGCCCTTCAGTCGTCCCGTGCTGACTCTCCTTAAATTTTTTTGTCAGCCTTCGCGAGCCCTTTACCTCGCCCGGTACTTCCAGATGGAAAGAAATGCGCCGGTCTCGGCAACTGCAACACTGCGAACTTGGGAGACTTAGTCAACGTTGAAAACGTAGCCACAGGACCATTAGGCATCCTTGTCGCCCCGATGTTAGTGAGATTTAACTTGACTTTGGTACATTCTGTGTTCACTCATGCATTGCCTCTCTGCAACCTTTTTCTACATCAGCACCGGACAAGCATAATTTCTCTTTAACTGAGACGGTAGTCATAAACATGTGTTCTTCATACATGTATTTCTTTTAGTCTTATGATATCGTGCCAATGGACAACCCACATCACTGCATGTGTGCTATTTTACAAACTAACTTGGTTCAGACCGGAGAGAGTCAGAGTCACATGACAATTGAGAGGTCAGAGTCGTTTCAGTTAAACCAGAAACTATTCTGGGGGAACTCTTTGTGAGGAAGGTAACCTGTCCTCGTTAACCCTCCAAGATGGCAGGAGAAAGAATGATCTGATAGCTATTTATATTGATATTGAGAATTTGGCCACCCATGCCACCGATGTTAACTTCAACTTCACCGGTAGCCTCTGTATAAATCCACTCGTTAGTTCAATTGCGTGTTGTTATATCCACTCAAGCTGAAACACAACTAGTATGTCGAAAAATCTAATCTTCGACGAATCCACTTGTGAGCCTTTTTTTAGCAGGGGCTGCAGTAGAAGTGGCTTGGGAAATCAAAACTATGGGAGCTTGACTCTGAGTCTGCTTGAGTGAGTGGCTGGGCCGCGCAATGCTGCACCTACTGCCCATGTGATTCCCCGAAACCCACTCACTATAGAATATTTACTGCCAACTGGAGAGTTTTCTCATTTAGTTACTAAATTACCTGAAGTAACATGCGTGAAGGCCTGATGAGCACTTCGGGTCTTGAGTTTTGCATTGGATAAGATGTCAAAATCTGCCTCGGAAGAGTGCTTATGGCATGCGCAAGCATAAACGGAAAATGTTATGATGGTTGTTGACGAGTTTTGTAAATGCACTGCAGATTTCCCCTTCCGAGCCTTCAAAAGCTACTCTGTGGTGTTCATACTGTAAGCCGTAGACACCAGAGCCTGCAGTTTCTTCACGGGGATTACTGCACTGCACACAATGTTTGTCTACTTCGAGATTGCTACTGTTGAGGGTCCATAATTTTAACGGGTTGCAGTCTGTTGCAGTTACTCATGTCGTAGACTTGACCCTTATTATGAACAGGACAGGCTTGTCGAATCGGTTTCTAGTATGTGTCCACATTAATAAACCGATCAAACCCTCACAAATGACAATTGAAAAATGTAACTTCAGCATACCCGCCACTTCATGAGGGTCAATAGACCCTAGCTAACCGGTTTGCTCGCGGTTCATCGAGTGTTGCCTAGCAGCTTGAACTAACGTATGGCACTACCGGAGCTCGGCAACTGTAATGCAGGGTCCGAATGTCCAGCGCCTGGCCTTCAAATTCGTTCCTTATCTTGCACGACGGGTTGTAACAACTTGAGCTACTCTTTATTATTTTCAATCAACAACTGGAGTTCGGCAGCCTCCTTCGAATATTACGGCTTACCCGATCCGCTATATTCAACCCGCACAAACACACGCTGGTTGCCTGGCATACACAACTAACAAGGCCTATGGACAATGAAACCGTGAGGTAGACATCGAATTATTTTGCCAGCTCATTTCCCTGGTGACAGCAACCTCGACTCCCTGTGTTTATTTTTTTGAAAGGTCCATTTGAGTACTACATTTCTTCAGCCCGGTTGGTATTTTTAATCAGGGCCAGAGATACATACAGCGCACTTCCCGTGGGGCTGGACAGGATTCCACCAATTTTTGAACATCTATCCATTTTCTTGTTGTCGCATTCCGCACTGGGGCCCCTGAAGATCAAGCTGCTCTAACTAACATCGAGTCAACGAGATTTTCGGCCATCTCAACGAGACATTCAACTACTCCCTTTATCTTCTCAGCGGTTGAATTCTAAAATAGCTACCTGACTATCAAACCATGCTCACTGGATATGAAAATAACTACGGGAGTGACTGGACTCGCCAGCGCACCTTAGATAATGGGACGGATATCGACATGGCCACCGAACTGGGTACCACCTTGTCTAGATCAACAACGGCACCCGCGCCTGCACTTCAACGCTTATCATTTGCTCGCCATCCTTCTGTGATTGGTTCCTCACTTAGCCCAGCTCCTTTGCTTGAGAAGATTGCTCGACCAGCCAACCAGAACATGGGAGATGGCATCGTATTCGGCACCATGGCTCAAAACAACTCATCCCCGAGGGATTCTTCTTCGTGCGATCAATCGCCCAGAGACATCCAAGCGGTACTGGATGGCTTGACATCGAAGCCACTGGGACTCACAGACTTCAAACGATTCCTGAACGAGATTCGTCGAGGCGCATATTCAGAAGAATGCAACTGTTGGATCAGTTACGCTCCACTCCTGGTAGATTTTCTGTTGGATTTTAAGCGGTTTGTTTTTACTACAGATTAGTCATTTTTCCAACCCAAACTACGTATACTGATCTCCTTTTGATTTTGAATTAAATATTGATTTCAGCTATGCCGACGGTTTTGCGCGGTTGTCTCTACGTGAACAATCTCAATGTCCTCACCCGTTCGAAATCATTTGCCATTTGAACTCCCAAAATCCCGAAGCTCCGAAGGATTCCAGTGACATCGACTTTAGTGATTTGAGGCAAGATGTCGGTTTCTCACAGTTTGAAAAAGCAGCCCGTGAGCTATCGGAGAGAATGCCTGCAGACTTTGACGCCAACCCGAGCCATGAGCACCCTGATAATCGTACCCCTACAATGGAACCGGAAAACCCAAACCGGCCTCATCGAAAAGTCAATTGGGCACCCTCAGTACGTTCCAACAATCACCAGTACGACCCTGATTTGGATTCTACGGGATCTACTCTGTCCGCAACCTTACATGAAGGCTCTATTCTAAGAGCAGCTAGACACAACTCTAAAGCTACCTCACAATTCTCTTCGAACGTTTTAATGCAAAGTCTGCGAGGTGTTGCGCCCGACCATCAACCCATGAGAGATTCCTTCAACGCTCTTGTAATAAAATATTTGGGAAGCTCGACCTCGCTGAAGCAACAGGATGGACTACTCTCAAGCTACGAAATCATCAACTTTGAATCAATTCAGCGCGCAATCTTAGAAGCAAATTATACGAACCATCCAGCTGTGCTTTCTGGAATCGTGGCAGAAATTCTTGTGGGGCTGAATGTACATGTCTTACCCGTATTCGTGGCTTATTCAATCACAAACCAAAACAGACAAACCAATGTCAGGAGCAAAACCCTTTGGGGTTCACTCTTGGTATTGATTACTTTCATCTTCAATTTATTGATGATGATTGTTCCCTCCCCGCTCATCACTCCATGGAAAATAGACAAGCCGATACCAAAAATTTACCGACTTCTTCTGTTCCCTCTGATTTGGATCGGCTTTGCTTTGATAATAAGCGATTTCATGAAAACTTATTGTCTCTTATGTTGGAACAATAAATTCAAATCAATCGAATCCAGCGGGGGCGCTCAAAGTGAGTTGCGTACTCAGGATAAGATCACCAATTTTTCAGAAAACATGCAAAATGGACCCTCAAATTCGTGAGTTAACAGCACTTTGGATTTCAAATCTATAGGGGATGTATTTAAACTAATCAGATTTGATTGGTCTTTCCCCTTCTAAAAAGTAGGCCGGTTCAAAGGCATGAAGCCAACAGATTGGTTCACAAACTGACAACATGCCTCAGCATATCATTGGTATTAGCTGTCATCATTCAAATATGTTTTGTACTCTTACCTCTTTTACCATGATATTGCATCCCGGTCCCAGCTCGAAAAATCTCCTATTGGGAAATTCTCTTTTTTTCACAAAAGGACATCATCTTATTGTTTCTCATTTCTCAGTTAGTATTTTATCAGATAAGAAAAGGCTGCAATCTTGTATTTCTAATTGATTCTTCAAGTGTATTTAGTATATCTGTACATCATTCTGGTCTTTTGAAACCTCTTTTATCCAATAACAATGATTTCTGGTATCACATTTTTACCCCACAGCAATTTAGATTAATTGAAATGGATAAGCATGTTTGAGTAATTTACTCAAATAACAGCATTATGTAAGAGAAATGGAGTGTAGCTTTCACCAGCCATTGAGCTGGGCCATCACCCTGCTTGAGGGGCATGTGCAGGCATACAGTATACAAGTCACTAACTAGCCAAATGCTCTCCCTACAGTAGGGCACTGTTTATGCATGAGCCCCCACCAAAACTGCTAAAACATTTCCAGGATATTGCCAGAATTCTCTGTACACCTCTGCCTCCGCAAACAGATTTCATAAGAGCAACACCACATCCAAATCCAGGAAATGCAAGAATCCTTGTATCCAAGTCCTTATAAGATGGAACAGGAGAACTTACCCTATTGAACCTTTTTGTCTATCTCAAACAGACAAAATGAGTCACCTACCACCCAGGGAGCTCACCTGTTTGGGATCACTGAAACACAACACAAACCACTTTGGGTCCTCCAATGAACCACAAGGGTCAAGAATGTGAGTATTTAAAGACCTTGTCTCAATCAATAGGATTCTTTTCTCAGCCTAATTGAAACATAAAATTGCTCATTTAAACTATCACAGAATCACCACACTGTCCCCTACTGCTCACATGAGTCAAGAGGACTACGATTACATTATACTATCTACATCAAGTAGACTTCAGGACAAGAAACTAACCCTCACGGTGTCAATTCAGACACCAATATAGCCAATTTTTAAAGTGATATCTTGTCTCAGAAATGTCAACAATAGGTTGATATTAAGTGTGGTATTATTACTTTGTTATGGAGATCATCTTTAGCTCACAACACTAACATAAGATGAACCCTTCATCTCTAAGAACACAGTAGTCTTTTCTGATTCTCCCATCTTAATATTTCACTCTTGTTCTGTCTACTTCCTGCTATATCTCTCTAGTCAGAATAAATCACTAGCCCAAAAACTAGTCTTGCTCTTAGGTAACTTTCATTCCTGTCTTCTCCCCTCTCTCATGCCGTAGAGGCAATATTTTGTACATGCTCAAGAATTTCATGCAATGAACCTGCTCTTAGTTGCCTTAAAATTTAAAGAAATCAGAGGAGGCTGATTTATAACAAGGTTTGACTGGTGATTTACCTGAATCCACTTGTTTGGTGAACTTCGCTTTGAGTCAAAGGGAAGTCAACTTTTCAGTTATCTCACTGCTTGATGTGTAACTTGAGACCATGCAACCAAAAATATAATCTTTGAGGTATACACATAAAACTGGGATTAGGCCTTCCATTTTCCATCAAGACTTCCCCAGGTGTGGGCGCGTAGCTGAGACGAGCCTTGTGCTCAGGGTCCGCGCCCATGCGGGAAAAAAGGGAGGATGAAAAAGGGGGGTTGTCCCCTTTTGTTTCAAACCTTTTGGCCTAGAAAAAGCCTTGGTGGAAATGAGGGTAAGCAGTAGAATGGCAGAGAGAGGTGGACTCGGTCTCAAAGCCCCTCTCGAAGTCTGACCTTCATGAAGGGTGGGTGGGAGGAACAGAAAAAGGTGAAGAGCCTCGATGGGATGGAGGAGAGGCGAGTTATCGTTGCGCGTAGAGCTGGGAGTACTGACGAGCAGGGGAGTGCGGACAGGACGAGCGGGTCCTTCCTTTAAGGGAGACGCGGTTGAGGGGGGGACTGCAGTGTAAGGTGCCAGGGCACGGCTTCAGTCAGTGCTCGACAAGGCGGTCAGTGGCAGCTCTGCGCCTTGGTGGCCATGGACGGCGGGGACTTGTCTGCGCCCCCGTCACCTCACATCCATTTTCCATCAAGACTTCCCCAGGTGTGGGCGCGTAGCTGAGACGAGCCTTGTGCTCAGGGTCCGCGCCCATGCGGGAAAAAAGGGAGGATGAAAAAGGGGGGTTGTCCCCTTTTGTTTCAAACCTTTTGGCCTAGAAAAAGGCTTGGTGGAAATGAGGGTAAGCAGTAGAATGGCAGAGAGAGGTGGACTTGGTCTCAAAGCCCGCAATCTTAGGTTCGCATAGTGGGAGCCTGAGCCGAGAGAGAGAACACCCGATCTCCCAACGGAAACAACTAGATTGCATAAACTACAAACCCATACGTTTCCAGTTCAACTTCAAGTTGGACAATAACATAAGCGTTTTCTTCTTGGTATCCGGATCATACGGCCTTATATACAACTTGTAACAATCAGATTTCCATCTGCCTAAAAAACACAAGTCCTGTGTAGTCATTCCTAGTGCCAGACGAAAAGAGGCCCCGCCTACGCGGAATGAGTGGCCGTGCAAGCCGGCATAACCTCCTTCAGCAAGAACTTGTTCCACGCGTGTTACCGCCCTTCTCCTAGTGAGATGATGTCGGACGCCGTTCTCCATGTATCCAAATAGAGTGGTCGTGGTGCCTAAACTCGAGGATAGCCTTCGTCTTAGTGCCAGGATGGGACACAGGACGTGGTCTTGTTCTCTAAGTGTGATCAGTTGAGGTTTACCGGGCGCGCCTGTCTTTGCGTTTCTTATGGCGATCGAGGCGACACCGACGTTCTCGGTGTCAAACACCACGTCCGACATCAAGATGGAGGACGTGAAGTTAACCGTGCCTAATTCGGAATCGTAAGACAGTTCTGAGAGCCTAGCCAGACCCCAAAAGGCCACGACCGCCATGTCTAGTACCGCTTTGTCGAAGTCGGATCCGTGGGAGAGTTCTTTCCACAGATGGGTCATGTGCCATAACATCATAGGTAGCTTTTTGGCTCGTTTCCCAACTAACTCGTCTTCTTTGGCTGATGCCTTTAGCATCAGATCGATCCTGGCCTTGTTGATGTCGGGGAATTTTTCCTTATGGAATACGTGCCATGCTCGTAAACCTGCGAGATACTTCTTGATGGAGCACACTGAAATCTTTGAAGAGTCCTGGGAGAAAAGGCTTCTCCCTGCCCACAAGCAAAAATTCTCGATGTCCTCTGGCGAGACCGGTAAGACGAAGGTGTGTTTTCCTGCTGTTGCTGAGAATTTCAAATATTTAATGACCGCGCTGTTGTAGCTTTTGAGTGTTGACACTTGCCATCCTGACAGGATGTGTAAGTCGACATTGGAAGGGGATCGGACTAACGTCCCGTTTCGCAGAAATTCGTTTATCTTATTGAACGGGATCATATTCCTCTTGTGAAGTGACATAGTGAAATTTGTATAACAAAGAAAGATTGATAAAGGAGATGAAGTATATCACGACAAGATCAAAAACAAAAACAGTTGCCCATTTATGGAAAAGATGAAAGATCCCTAACAATTACGCATGAAACATAAAATTGGACAGGTTGTCAGGGATGTTAAACCAGACCCTGTTCTCCGCTACATGAGGTCGTTGGACCCCTCGTGATAATCCATCGGATACGTTTTCGGCCGATGTTACCCTCAAAGGGGTGATGTCTAAATCTTCAAATATGAGTAACTTTTGGATTTGTTTCCATTCGTTGTTCGAATGGAAATCTTTCGATTTCCTCGATCGTAGTGTGCTCTCTGTCGTAGTATTATCAGTCCAAACTATGAAGTTTCGGCCTTTTAAATTTTTGCCTATGGATAATAACATTAGGATTCCTATTCTGATCGCTACTGTTTCCAGCCACGCGATCGTTCTCCTTGGACTTGCTTCCGCCCAATTCTCCTTTAGTCTCAATTGAGACCACCGCCTCCCGATGAGGACTCCTATTCCGAAACCTGTCGACGCATCGCCTACCCAATTTATCTTGGTAGGGTCGGTTAAGGGGCAAAGTCTTGTGCTAGAATAGTCGTTCAGGGTTGATAACCAGAAAGATAGGTCTTCTATGACGTCTTCTGGTGGCGCTCGCGTGGCCCATTTCTTCTTCCATTCATTCATCCACCTGTAGATGCTCCTAGAATAGCATCTTAGTTGAGGAAGGAGTAGCGATACGTGATTAAGTCTACCCGCCAAAATTTTGACTTCGTTGAACTTGAATTCCCTCTTTGGATGTAAAAATTCCTTGATTTGTTCCTTACGTTTGTCCAATTTGATTTCTGTTAAACGAACTGTTTTAGAAACTCCGTTCCAAATGAATCCTATAAACTTCTGTTCTTCGGCGAATTCTGAGCATTTTTCAACGCTGGTTGCCACTCCCAACTTCACTGACCTCTCCGCTATGGTTTTCATGTCGCAAGAGGAACTTTTCCGTTTGATGAAAAGGTTATCGTCGACCCATCAAAATATTTTGACGACATCGAATTCAGACTGCATGATTTGTTTCCACGCATCTGCTGGTAAACCGAATGAGCCGCATCCAGCAACACCTCCGAAAGTAATTTGAGTGTCGACGTATAGATTTCCGTGAAGGTCTTTTACCATCAGGTATCTCCACTGTGATTCCCTGGTAGGAATTTGTCGATAAGCTTTCGCCCAATCAAAGAGGGCAAGTTCGAACGGTTCGGAGTGCGTTCTAAAGAAAGTCGATACGATTTTGAAATTGTCCCACGTCGTAGTGAAGTCTAACTTATTTACGTAAGAGTTGACTGACTTTATCTTGCTGTCGTTCCTCGGGAAAGATAGATTATTGATTGGACGCATCTTCCCGTCTGTATTTACAACAGAACCTAAAGGGCTGGTCCGAAAAAATTCGTAATGTTTGGCGACCTCTTCATGTGAAAATGGGCCAAACATTCTACCGGCTTCTACTTCTTCATTTATGGACTTTTGTATTTTGTCTTTTGCGTTGATCGCGGAAGAGTGATTATCGGGTGTGAACCACTTCTCATTACCAACTTTATGATCGGGGATCCCTTGATCAAAACCGATAGTGAATCCTTCAATGATGTGGAGCATCTCTGGTAGCAAACCAGCCTTATCTAGTGCATATTTCCACTCATCAATATGCATTTCACATGATACTGCAACAGGCCAAGCGACCTTAGGAACACAAATTGAACTAGAAACAACGTTGCGAACAAAAACAAAAACCGATTATCTACTGTCTAATTTTTTTTTTTTTTTTTTTTTGATCGAAAGAAAAACTAAATATATCTGATGACAATTTAAAAGAATCATCTTAAACCTACGGTTTGCTTCCACTAGCCATGTTGGGTGGCGGTTTTTCGCTGGCTTCCGCTTTATTTCCGGAGCTCCTGAACCTTTTCCTACTATCCCCCATGAGTTGATGGTACCCACCGCTGTTATTATTATCGTAGTGATTGACAAAGTTAGAGGGTTGTTGATGTGTCTGCGGATGATTGTCGTAGTTGTTGTTGTAGTGATAATTGTTGGGATAATTGTTATGAAAATTGCCTTGCATCATGTTGACCCCGTAACGACCTCTGTGTGCGTCCCTCCTCCTCTCTTGATGATTACTGAATCCGTAACCGGTGTTGTTATATTGATTGACATGATTTTGTTGACGGTTGTTGCCGTGATTGTTTTGGTTTGGAACCAAATTCGATCTAGATAGCTCCGGTTTTCTAGCACCCGTGTCCGGGTCGTATGCTGCATGAGACCCGCCTGGTGCGTAATGATTATCTTTCCAGCCGGTTTCTCCGTGAGATCTGACGATGCTATAGCATTGTTCTACGACTACGTCTTGTTTTACCGTAATGTCTGGTACTGCCGCGCCATCCTTCGAAGGTAACCTGTGAGCGAATGCGTTCATCCTGATCTGCATATCGTATCTGAAAGCCGTCATGAAACCGTAGACATCTGCTATCTCGTCGCAATTGGCTTTGTGGATCAGAAGCTTGTTGGCGAAGATGGTCTTATTATACACATCTCTTAAAGTGATAAAGAAGGATCGATGGTTATTCGTCCAAGTCGAGTGGGTTTGGGTCCATTCATCGTGATACGCTAGGCCTCTGTAAGCTTTGTCTTCTGAGGACTTTGATGGTTTCAATAACATGTGGGCTGTGAGGGCTTTCTTTTGCCATTCTGGATACAAATTAGTGGAAAAACCTAGGATTAATGATCACGGAATGGATTTCCAAAAGTGATAGAACTTGCTAACCTCTGTCGAAGATGGTTAATGGAATCGGTGCCTTCAATTTACGAATATTTTCGTCAAAGTAAGGAGTGAACCCAATATCTTGGTGACTCGTGACGGCGCCTACTGCGTACACTATGTTGTCTTCTGTCTCAGTTACCGTCGCAGTTGTTGCTAAGGATTGGTGATCTGAGATGCACAAAACGGGTCTTGCTGATGCCGATCTTGTGTTCAATGAAGGCCTAGTCCCGGAAACGTCTGACACCTCGGGTCTAGGGCTGGATGCGCCCATCGCCTCGTACGCTATCATTAAGGCTTTCGCTAAGATCTCGTCTCCCTCTCCGTGTGCTATTTTGATCTTAGCCCAAATATGGTCTCTCTCTTTATTCGGTGTGGGTTCACTTTCGGGGGGAATCGAAGTTTTGTCGGCAATTGTTTTCAATGTTTCTACGGACAATTCTGTAAAGCATGTATGATCGTATCAGGTTGTGATTCTGGTTGACAATAAAAGTTGATTACTCCGAGAAACCATACCAGGATTTTTACTAATGAGGTCTAAGGAATCATCGCCTCCGCTATCTTGTGAACCTTCTAACAAAGTAGGGTTTGACGTCGCTTCGGACTGTTCCGTCCCTGCTGGGGTTGATACCTCGATTCTAGGTTGTGAATCAACTGTGGGATTCTTGGAGGCTCCTTTCGAGCGAGTCGATTTATTTGACGACATCTGAGGAGCGTGCATCTGTTATATCAACGTTTCTAAATAATTAAATGAACTTATGTTAGAACAAGAATGGGGCGAATAAGAACGAATAATAAGAACGAATTTGGTTTGACTTCGTGACGACTTACTGTCGCGTTATGTAAAGTAACTTCAGGGTCTCGTTAACCACCTGGCTTCCTGTGATGGATAAAACGTTCAGGGAGCTTGTCGACCTGGAATGAAAAATTTTCTCAACCTGGAATTGGACAATCAGGGAGCTCGATGTTAACTTGGAATGTGACAATCAGGGAGCGTGATCTATGAGATATGGGAGTTCGCTGACCTGGTAATCTTGGGCTGTCGAGAAATCACAGGTGCTTGTTATCCTGGAAAAGAATAATTACCAGAAAAAGGTGAAGAGCCTCGATGGGATGGAGGAGAGGCGAGTATGGATTGCGCGTAGAGCTGGGAGTACTGACGAGCAGGGGAGTGCGGACAGGACGAGCGGGTCCTTCCTTTAAGGGAGACGCGGTCGAGGGGGGGACTGCAGTGTAAGGTGCCAGGGCACGGCTTCAGTCAGTGCTCGACAAGGCGGTCAGTGGCAGCTCTGCGCCTTGGTGGCCATGGACGGCGGGGACTTGTCTGCGCCCCCGTCACCTCACATGAAATTGGTTGGTCAAAAAATAACTAATTTTGGTCCACCCAAATCTTTTTAATGCTGGATACCATGACCAAATTTATTTACAGATAACTGGTGGCTTGGATAATGTTTTTTTGGTCTTGTTTAAATTATCATGGTTACAGAATAGTAGAAGCATTATTGCCAAAAGAATCCTGAAATATGTCAGGAGAGAGCATGTTTGCTCATATCCACATGACAAAAAGAATATTGATTTCACATTTAAAAGTTGTACCAAGTTAAAAATTCAAAAAAGTAACTGATATGTAATTTCCCAGTGTTGCTCTGACATTCAGAGTGCTTTTTAAACCCCTTTAAATTAACACTGTGATCAAATTTAAAACCAGCTTACATGAGAGCCATCAATGCAAGGTTTTTAATAATATATATATATATATATGTATGTATAAGGTTTTGACTGGCCTTTGAGGTAAATATCAAGAAGGAATACTTTCTTGATGACCATGATCTTTGGCCACATTGTACATTTGCTTGACTTAAGGTCAGGAAAGGCTTTGGTCCAGCCCCCACAATCTTTGGAATACACCATGACCAAGAAGGAATTTGGAGTGTGATGTACATACATCCTGGAAGATCAGAAAAGAAGTATTCCAGGAAGTGTGCTTGAACTCTTGTTTTGCCAAACTTGCATGTGTTCTCAATCTGGCTTGCAACTTGAACATTGACACCATACAAGGTACAATCCTCTTGTATAAGTAAAACAAAATGAAATAAAAATTTTGTACCACAAAAATCAAGAGGCTTAACAAATCGGGGTGAAATGCAATAATTGAGAAGACTGAAAGATCCAAGGTAGGAAATCTGTTTTTCCCTATGGGCTTGTAGACCAGGGAAAAATGGTAATATGCACATGTAAGTTATGGCTATGAAAGAAGGGAACAGAGTGGAGGACTTCCCATTGGATCTGGGAGTCTGGAGGACTTCCTGTTGGATCTGGGACCCTCACAGTTTTTGATCTAGGCCCAAAAAGTCTAGAATTTTGCTGGGAAATCTAGCTTTCAAGGCCTCTAAATCGCTCCTGGGAGACCCGCAGATTTGACAGGAAGTTGTCCAGTACTCAGTACACCAGGAAAAATCAATTATCACTTGTCAGCAACTGGCATCTCAGATTACAAAGAGGCCTCTGTAGTTTTGGATGTCACTTGTCACCAAGTGGATGACTTCTCCTCAAAATCTACGACCCTCCCAGAAGTCAATTTACACCCATTAGATCATTTTTTTTTTCATCAAAAAAAATTATTTTCTGAAGCCTTCCAGAAACAGCTCTCATGTGAGCTGGTTGAAATCTTAATCATGTTGTTAATTTGGGACTGAGGGATCTAAAAACGTTCTAAATGGTGACAGGAAGTTTAGAATGTTTTTAGATCCCTCAGTTCTAAATTAACACTAATCAAAACCACAACCGACTCACTGCATGATCACCTTATTAAGAAGGATCCTGAAAAGAAACTTTTTTGCCAAAAATTAAGACCTTGGAGGTGTAAATCAAATTCTGTGAGGGTTCTGAATGCCAATGGGAAGTCATTGTGATCATGAATTTTTCCTGGTGGTATTAATTCAATCTAGATGAAAGATTTGTAACAATAGAATGGGGATATAAGTTGGATCAAATTCAAAAGGCCGTAGTATATACTCTGAGAGTCGATGTGGCAGCAACGGTTGAACAGATGAGGAATGCTATTAGTCTGTCCGAGAAACTGCCGAACAAGATGAGCCGACAGGCTGCAGCATCATGTCGGCAAATATGTGATGCCAAACAAAAGGACCGCCGTTGCAGCAGGCACATTAAGGCCAAACCACCGAGGAATGCCGCGTCTTTTATCCGATCACTGACACAGCTGCAGACTCGAGCAGATTTGGATTATATGACCAGCCAAGGGAGATCACGTGGATCCCGATATGGAGGCTTAATTGGGCTGTCCCCTTTTATGGCAGAAGAAAACCTGGGCTATTCCAGACAAGCACCTAATAAATATTCTCAAGAATTCATTCTCATCCAAAAAACCAACCTGATACATATCATTATCAAGTGTCGTTAATTCCTGATTAACAAATAAGAAACATCTACAAGGATGAGCACCAGTTTCTCGAATCCAGATTATTCCGCCAAAAGCTATCTCGACCATCGGCCGCGATATCCTCAGCAGCTCTACCAGACCATCCTCGACTTCCACAACACTCCATCAACAACTGCCGACATTGCAGACTATCCGACTCCACAGACCAAGCTTGCACTGGACTTGGGATGTGGCCCGGTCAGTTTCAACAATCATCGGCCTTGAACTCGGATTTCAAAACAAACGAAACAAGAAAACAGATGCCATCTAATATTGGTTTTTGGCTTGTCTGACTGGTTGTAATACAGGGGATTGCGACATCAGAACTGGTTCCTCACTTCGAGAAAGTGGTCGCGGTTGACGAATCGGAGCCGATGATCCAGATCGCAAGCGGCCATCTACCTCACGTAGACTGTCGAGTCGGAAGTGCGACGAGGATTCCGATCGAGTCGGGGACCGTAGACTTGATCACCGTCGCCACAGCAGGTCTGCCGTTCCTCCTTATTTTTTATAACCTCCATTGAGACTCGGTTTGTATAAGGAGACTTCTCGAATTGAGAAATGGAGGTCGATCCAATGTGTTTTGATGATGATAGCTGACTGAGGTGGTTTATAATCATGCTTGCTTGCTTTCAGCACATTGGTTCCCTGATCAGTGGTGGGAGGAAGCTTCCCGGGTGCTCAAGCCTGGCGGCACGGTAGCAGTATGGACGGTGTCTCATCAGATGATGATTGGTTTGAGCATCTCCTCTACTTTCTTCTCCGTCACTGCATATCACAGTCTGTGTCGAATAAACCAGCACGGCCGCGAAAAGTTGTTGTGCCCCTTCATGATATATTCATAAAACCTTACCAAAAAAAAAAATCACTCTTTTTTTTTATTTGTCGACACAGAACCGTCTCATCCAAAAACTCGCGAACTTAACGAGCTGCAAGTCCGATTGGTAGAGGCCTTCAGGACCTATTTGACGGCGGGGAATCAGTATGTGATCGATATGTACGACACGCTTCCGCTGCCATCGGCCGAATTACGGTTCGGGCCGCTCCAGCGAATCGTCTGGAATCGCGAGAAAGTGGATGATCTTATGATGTTCATGGGCTCGAAATTCAACATTGATACGCTGGTTCGGCTCCTCTTTAACTTCAAGACTATATAATCACCTTTCTTACTTTCTTTCAAAAGATTCGTTGATAAACTCTTTCTTATCTCGCAATTCTTTCTATCTTACATACAGCGGAAACGATTGCACACCTATAGTCCGGTCTATCGCTGGAGAACAGGTAAGCAAAAACCGGTGGAACAACTTGCACTACACAACAAACGAAATCCACAAGTTTCTGATATCGATCTATATACACCATCGGGGGGTTTTTTTATGATAAAAGATAACCCTACGAAGAAGGATACGGAAGATGACCCGGTCGAACAGATGTTTTCCAACCTCAAGAAAATCTCTGGGTGGGACGATTCGACCGAGTTCACGGCCGGACATCCGCTAGCTTTGATCATGATAAAAAAACTTGGATGAGGGGCTCACAACGTGCATCAGCAAGACAACAAGTCATTTGTGGACATTTTCTACGAACCATTCTCACTTCATTTGCGATTTTTATCACATCATCATCATCATCATCATTGTGTACCTTTGTTTCTCTTTTAGTAGTTTTCCTCTGTTATGAATCCACAGACCAAAGTTTGATGTAGCATTAACATTCGTCCAGCAGCCACCTACCCTTTGCAACATGTTTGGCTTACTTACTCTGGGAACTTGTTTGAATGGCCCTTTACTTCCTACTTGGCTTCTGAGCAATGCACATGCATAGAGACGTTGATCATGCTGATGGATGTGTTATTATGATGTGCGGGTGGGTGATGATTGACGACATGCCTCGTGTCGTAGTCAACCATTCTAAACCTATAATCGAGAAGCATGCTCAAGCGTTCCAACTAATCTCGTGTTGATCTCTTCTTGATCCATTCTTCAAGGAGTTGTTTTCATTATTCATCATCGAGAGTTTAAAGATGGTTTGATTGGATCCATTTGAAAGATAGGGCAAGAATAAAAACGACTCGAGGGATAAAAAACTGATTAGACAACATAAAAAACAAAGATGTTGGAAGAAAGATGATTTGGTGTTGATACGAGACCAGGCGGCTCACACGTGCTACAAGGGTATATTACCTAATCACAGATTGCTGAATCCGATCATCGGATCAGGCCCTTGTTCTATTGAGGAGTTGAAGTAAAAAACGAAAGACAGAAAGAAATCTCCTTCGATCGAAAGGATTCTTCTTTAGTGGTGAACTTCGCTCGCCTGTCCTTGCCAGATAGGTCCTTTGACTGATTCGTGATTCTCAACCAACTGTATCCTGTGATAGCGCCGATGTGGATATGATATATAGCAGACTTCCAAGTTGCGAGGAGTTTGAAAAACCCTGAAACGGATTTGTTCATGATTTGAGTGAGACCCCTTGAAAACCATGTTCTTGCGCTGAGAGAGACGAAGAGAGAGAGGAAGGACGAATTGAGTTATGATGGCTGTTTGGGGATGAGATCTGGTTGTTGATCAGGAGATAGTAGATCTGCTTGTTGTTTTCTTGATTTCAATAATTCGTCTTCCCAGTCCTCTTGTTGGGTTCGATAGATGGCCATGGTAGCTTTTGCATCATCGACCTGGAGGAGGTTTTTAAAAAACAAATGAAATGAAGATACCATAATCAAGCCAGATGAGCTTTCTTTTTTGAAAAAAAAAACAGAGTCACTTTTTTGAAATCTGAGACTCAACTGAACAATGCGATCGTTTTTGGATCTTCAAATCCAAGACCAATTTAGCCAGATTCTTGAGACTAGGCGACCGGTCGGTGTTAGCCAAAGTCCATAGAGGTTGGTAAGTTGAGGTATCTCGTATCAGTTCTGGAGGATGGTCAATTGCCAAAGCCTGCAAATTGTTTTTTTCAAAGAAGGCTGTGATTAGCAAAAAAAAAACCTCGAGAATAGACTGTGTGTCTCTTACTCGTAAGTCGTGGTGAATCGCATGTCCAACCAAGATCTTCTTGTCTATCAATCGAGAAACATGCTTTGTGACGGCTTTAAAGCCACTAGCTTTTTTTTTTTTTTTTTTTGAGATGATCGGATGAATCAGTAGTGATCTGAAGGGGATCGGAGACAAGGCGTTTGATGAGATGTTGACCAACCATGTCTTAAATGTTTGGCCCTGATACCGCTGACCCAAGTACGATATTGAGTGACTGGTTGGGTGGGTTTGACGTATTGATCGAGGAGGACGTTTCCATGAAAATCGACGATGCTGACTCGTGCTAGTGCACTCACACTACCATTTGGACCCACGCCGACCATCTCGCAATCGATTGCCACATACTCCCTGTTTGAGATCGATTTTTGGTTTGTTAGTCTGAGTTTGAGTTTGAGTTTGTGGAGTTGAGTGTGGATGCTTACTTTTGTTGAGCTTTGGTGAGCTTTGCCAGTTTCTTGGTTTGCTTTGGCTTGCTGACTGGTGGGATGGGGACGATGAGCTGTTTGAGTTGGTTGAAGAGTGACTTGAGGCTCATCGCTGTACACAGAGTGGTGGTGATGGTCATGAGGAGCAAGAGAACCTTCTTCTTGAGGTGGTGCTGTGTAGATACATAAAGTGTTTATGTAAGCCAAACTGTGGTTCGGGTTGTCCGAGTGGCTATGGATGGCCAAAACTCAAATGCCG